GGACTCAAGTTGCATTATTTCTGGCAGTCTGTAAAGGCCCTTAGTCATTTTGGTTGGTTTTGATAAATATATTGCTCAACTGTTTTGTTTTGTTTGGGATTTTTCCACCATGATCAGCTACCTTAAAATTTTTTAATACCTATGTAAGTTATTGGTGGCACATTAAATAAAGTAAGAACTAAGGGGTTTTCCAGACATACAATTTATATCACTCCTTGGGTTTTTTTGGGGGGGAGGGGAGCAGTAGTTACCATGCTTCTTTCAGATATTAAAATGGTGTTTTGTTAGTTGCATATTTGAACAGTGATGAATAGTGCACTGGCTAGCAGCACTGCATTTACTACAGAGTTTTTAAAATTTTGTTTTTATATGGCCTTTCATCCTACATAGAAACAAAGATGGCTTCCAGAACAGATGAAAAACAAAGTACAGCTAAAATCTAATGATAAAACCTTAAAAGACAATTAAATAAGCCATCCTATTAAAACACCACTACAGGTTGAGATGCCTTTATCCTGAATTCCAAAATCCAAAATACTCCAAAAACCAAAACTTTTTTCATGGCTGGCTGAGATAGTTACATTTTTGCTTTCTAATGGTTCAGTGTGTACAAACTTAGGGGGGCTGCAGACGGGCGGCACAGAGCCACCCTGGGAAGCGGCAAATCAGGGCCACAGGTACCCCACACTGCGGCCCCAATCCTCCCTTTTGCCGCCCCGAAAAGAGTGGCAAAATGCCGCTCCTTTCAGGGGCGGCAAAAGGGTGCCCTAAGACCTGGAATGCGGCTCTTCGTCACCCCTTCCGGTGCAGCACATCAGGACGCTGCGCCGGGATGGCGTCCTGACTCCGCACGCCATGCGTAACGGTGCGCAGCGTCAGGACATCGGCGGCGTGGGGTTGGGGCGGCCAGCATGCGACTGCCCTGCCCTATCTCTGCCACCAGGCTGGCCCTTTGGGCCAGTCTGTAGAGGTCCTTAGTTTCATGCACAAAATATTAAAAATATTGTATAACATTACCCACAGATTATGTGCATAAAGTGTATATAAAACATAAATGGATTTTGTGTTTAGACTTAGGTCCCATTTCCAAGATAAATAATTATGTACGGACATGCAAATTACAGGTATTCCAAAACTCAAACAAACTCAAATCACCTCTGATTCCAAGTATTTTGGATAAGGGAGACTCAACCTGTCATTTAAATAAATAATAAATAATAAAAATAAAATAAATAATAAAAATAAAAATAATAATAAAATAAATAATAAAAAAAAATCATAAACATAAGAATAAAAGTGAGAGCTGGTGTGGTGTAATGGTTTGAGCACTGATGACTCTGGAGGCCAGGGTTCAAATCCCTGCATGGACATCCACTGAGTGACCTTGTCAAAGCACAGTGTCTCAGCCTCAGAAGGCAATGACAAATCTGCTCTGAACAAACTTGCCAAGAAAACTCTGTGATAGGGTTGTCTTAGGGTCGCCATATGTTGGAAATAAAAATGAACCGTATGTACTTCATCAAAAAAAGCCCACATCTCTGCACAACCAGGAAGGAGAGCAGAAAGAGGGGCCAGCCCAGCCCAGCCCAGCCCAGCCCCATCTCCTGTGGAGGAGAATTCCACTGCCTGGGAGCAGCCACCAAAAATGCCCTGCTTTTCCTGTGGGGTAGTGTGTCACCTCTCCTCCTTTTCCCAATAAAATATAAAGGAGCCATTGAAGGGAAAATAGAAGGGAAATGTAAGCATTGCAAACTAGAAATGTGCTGCACATACCCCTATCTAACATCACAGTGCACATAAAAATCAAAGATTCCTAGAAATTAAATGAAATGTGCCACCCTCATGAACTACACTGCTTGGGCAGAACCCCCCTAAATACTGTTTAAAATTCAAGAGGAAAATTTTGAATGGGGCACAAGAAGAAGTGACATTAAATGGCAGAGGTTGTGAACTATCTGGAGTCTCACAGAAATCGCAGCAAAGAATGCAGCTACTAATGCAGTTTCCAATGCATTCATATGCCAGTCGTGTTTGTACAAATATCTTTCTATTTCAAAAATACTTCTGTATAAGTCACAATTGTATGCATTTCTATACACAAGGCATTCAGGATGGATTTAGATTATTTTAAATCTAATCTAAATTATTTTCTGTCTAATATGGCTAGTGACTATGGGAGCAGGAATATTCTTGGAGTTGGGGGACTCTGGAGGCAAAACTAATTTCTCCAAGCTTGGGTTAATAGTATCTAAAAATCTCCAGCTTTAAAATAGAATTAGTTTTTAAAAAGGATTAGTAGGATTTATCTTGGATGATGCTTCAGCATTCGTAAGTGAGCCCAGATTACCTAGTTCTGTAATTAGTGTTTAATACTAGTAGCTCATCCCTTTCCTTACACTTAGGCTGCTGCCACACTGCAAAGTTAATGCAGTTTGACAGAGCTTTAACTGTCATGGTGCCATCCTATGGAATCCTGGGATTTCTAGGGGGTTTTTTTGCACTAGAGCTCTCTGTCAGAAGGCTAAATATCTCACAAAACTACACATTCCAAATTCAATAGCATTGAGTCATGGTAGATAAAGCAGTGTTAAACTGTATTAATTCTGCAATGTAGATTCATCCTTGGACAGATGGGGATCTGTAACAGCTAGATGTGCAGCTGACATTGCTTTATATACACTTTCTGAAAATATAATCCAGATAATGTTTCAAATTACACCCGTCCCTCCCCATTCATAGAGTTGGAGTCTGTGGTCTCGGTCTTTCACAGATGGCAAGTAGGGAGGGACAAAATGGCACATGCGCCCAGGCCATGTACCACCACTGAAATCAATGGGGCTTGGATGTTGGCGATTTTCTCAATTCGCAGGGGGAGGGTCTGGAATGGCTCCCCTGCAAATTGGGAGGGACAACTGTACAGTTTATCTTTCCTCTTATTATAACAGAATAATGTGTTATGAGCATTTAGAAAGGCTGCTGGATAGAAGAACTGTGGATATTAGAGGGGCAAAACCAACAAAAATCCATTAAACAAGCAAACAAAAGGATTTATTTGGCAAAAAGAATATATGTTCACACACATCATAGAAAACAGAAAGTAGCATTATGCCTAATACATTGTAAGACAATCCTTTTTATGTGTGATTTCTCAGATGTCAGTTTTATTGTGTTCAGTGGAGCTTACTCCATGGAATCTTACATCTTAAATGTTAAACTCTGTAGATCAGGCTGGAAAGATTTATTGTGATTTGTTGTTGTTGTGTCTTCAGGTCATTTCCAATTTATGGTGATCCTCAGGCGAACCTACCACCGGACTTTCTTGGCAATATTTGTTCAGAGGGGGTTTGCCTTTGCATTAATCTGAGGCTGAGAGAGTGTGGCTTGCCCAAGGTCATCCAGTGGGCTTCCATAGCTGAGTGGGGAATCAAACTCTGGTCTCCAGAATTGTAGTCCAATGCTCAAACCACTATACTATTCTTGGTCTCTTGTTTTGATTTACTTACATCATTTTTAGCAAGCAAAGCACATTCATCACTTAAATTGGCAAATGTGTGCCTCAGATGGCAGAGATAAATTTCACTAAGAAGTTTCAGAAATCAGAAAGGTTCTGTGGAATGTGGTGAATAGTTATGTTGAGAGTGAGAATGTAGTTCTAGTAATGTCTATTCAGACATAAGTGCCATTAAATTTAGTGGGAGTTAGTCTCAGGTAAGTAAGTGTGCCTAGAATTACAGCCTAAATCATATAGGGTCCCTCCTTACCAATTTCTTTCAGCTCCAGTGAGGCACAGAATAAACCAGACAGAACAGGGCTCTGTACACTACATTTTTGTCCAGCATTTCTTTCCAGGAGGGAAAAACTAGACTATGTCCTCTTATTTTATCCTAACAATAGCCCTGTGAGGTAGGCTAGGCTTAGAGATGGTGACTGTCCAAAAGTCATCCAGTTTGTTACAGTGATTTGCATCCAGGGTCCAAAAGACACTGCAGAAATAATCCAGTTTGGGACCACTTTAACTGCTCCTGGCTCAGTGCTAGGGAATTCTGGGAACTGTAGTTTTGTGAGACATTTAAGCCTTCTCTGTCAGAGAGCTCTGGTGCCACAATAAATTACAATTCTCAGGATTCCCTAGCACTGAGCCAGGGCAGTTAAAGTGGTCTCAAACTGGATTATTTCTGCAGTGCCTTTTGGACCCAAGTCAAACACTCTCTATAAGGTCAAATGCAAATATATTAGAGGTTTAATTCTGAACAAATAATAAATAATATGCAGGGTACAGACTTTTCCTAGCCATTGTGTTTAGTAGAACTTACTTCCAAGTAAGTGTGCACATGTTTCCAGCCTGGAAAAAAAATTCTTTTTACAGGAGTCTAATGAAAGGATGGGCAGGAAGACAAATTTTAGTTTCTTGGCAAGACAATGAATAGGTGAGAACTGGCTTCAATATACAGTACATTCCAGGAAGGAAGAAATAACCTGGGAGCCAGGGAGGCTGAACTTTTGACCTAAGGCAGACTTTTCATTCAAGGAATGGCAAGATTCTTTGGTACAGAATTAACATAGAAAACAGACACAATTAAAGATCCCTGGTTTCAGTGGTTATCATAGTGTGTGATGTAAGTACAACATTTGAACTGATCCTAAAATGTAATTAGTTCTGTTGTTATTTTTTTACCTTTTGTTTTCTTCTTTACATCCTATTGCTTTGAGGCAAAGAGAATTAAGGGCAAAGCAAAACATGCTCTGAAATGCAGCCCAATTTGGTATAGATGGTTTCAACTCTGTTTTCCCCTTTCTTCACAATAGCCTCTTGTTGGTGAACAAAAACAGTGCCTACCTTTGACTTAGAGCCTGTTCAAAAGTCATGGCTATCAGTGTAATGAGTTCTACAGATGGTTTCAGTTGCCATTCTCTTCCTTGCTTCAAGGGAAAAAAAAAATTCTTCAGCAGCTGCTCCCAGATGGAGGAGACACATTCAGAGTATGACAGTTTCTCTAAGGAAATTGGTAAAAATCTTAGAAAATAATAACAGCAAACAGTCAAACCAAACATTTTACAGCATGGTCAAAAATATACCACCAGAGCTTTCTATTGCTTAGCAAGAAACATTTTTTAAAAAAAAGAATAAAAAAGGAATCATCCAGATTTTAGCAGACATATATTGCACCCAAACCTCACACGTCTGGCACTGGCAGAAAAGAATGTAATAAATCCTTCCCTGCAGAGAACATCACTTTCCAGGGAGGGTTCTTGACTGTAAAAGTGATTTTGAGATAGAAATGCATGCTTCTCACTTACGGTTGGTAAATTTTAATGATGCCAGTGGGATTTACCTACAAAAATATTTTTAGAATTTGGCCTCGACTGTCATTTCAAAGCATTTATTTCAATGTAAGTTTTGCTAAAGTCAATCAGCGTTGCACGTAAATTAATATATTTTGGGAAGCGTGAAGTGGTTTAGAGTAAAATAAAGTATCACTGGAATTTGATGCTTGGTAACAGTTATTTCCTCTTGATACTGAAATTTCGAATCCAGACTTTTGCCAATTTTATGTTTTCTTTTCTATGGTCCAAAACACACTGCAGAAATAATTTAGTTTGAGACCACTTTAACTGCCTTGGCTAGGGAATCCTGGGAACTGTAGTTTATTGTGGCTGTCTCTTGGACAGAGGCTAAATGTCTTACAAAACTACAGTTCCCAGAATTCCTTAGCATTGAGCCAGAACAGTTAAAGCTGTCTCAAACTGGATTATTTCTGTAGTGTGTTTTGGGCCTAAATATTGTCTTTACTTAAAGAGAAAAGGTATACATTACTGGAAAAAAGCAACAAGAATAAACTAAATCCAAACACTACAACAGTTTTAAAAATTGATTCTGAAAGTTTTTTTTTCTATCTTCTAGTGGTAACTGTTTATGTGGAGCAATACTGAAATATAGCAGAGCAGTATTTCAAATCTCTGCTCAATCATGGAAACTTTTTGGATGGCTATGGACAAGTCATATTATCTCAAAGGGAAAGGCAAACCTCCTGTGAACAAATCTTGCCAAGGAAACCCAGGATAGGTTTGCCTTAAAGTCAGAGCCAACATGAAGTCACACAACAACAACGAATTTACAGGAAATATTGTTGTGGGATTAACAAACTACTTCAGAACACTGAAAATTTTATGTCTTTCTGGAAATCATTTAAGTAATTTACATCTGGATTATAAGAAAATAAACAAAAATGCATGTTATTATATAAAAATATTTCTACATTATTTATAAATACAATTTTTAGAGAAGGTATGTGGGGCCAATACGTATATTCTTGCAGATGCAGCCTCACAAAATACTGCCAAACTGGACAAAACCAAACCAAAACAAACA